AAAGTATCAAATCAACTTAAAATTCCTTCAAAAAAGAAATGCAACTATATTTAGTCTAAAGTTAAGCTACATACAAGATTTTACAAATTTAGTGGGCAGTCTTGGGAAGGGGATCCTAGAGAATTTGACTGCAAATACCTTTAATGTTTGGTTCATGTTGTTCTTAGGCAGAAGTTAATAACCGTGAGTGTGGATAAGCCTGTGGAGATGTTCTTTCATCTCTGGGGATGATCAAATGCAGTTAAAATACAAAATGTGGTTGTTCATCAGTCTCAGACAAGGATACCAGCTAGCAGGAACGTGGAAAGACTTGTCAAATAAATCTTTGTTAAATTAGGAAGTTGTCTATTTTGTAAATAGGCTTTTCCTAGTAAAGATAGTGTGGAATATTAAACCATGATTAGCAAATGGAATACAAACCTATACTAGTGGCAAGAATCCCTTTCTATGCAAGTGTTACGTATGTGTTTGATAAGGTATGATTTAAGATCATGTCTTAAATATAGTTAAACTTGTTTATCCTACGAACCAATTTTCAGAGAAGTTGTAGCTCTGCAGCCTCGTTTCTGTGCCATCACTGAAGGCAGAAGAGAGAGAGAAACTCTCTTGTGTTCAGCAGGAGCACCTGGGCACTCGGGGCATCTGTGCTGACAGGCAGCCCAGCTTTGGCCCAGGGGTGTGGCCAGCATGACAGGAGGTACACGTAGGGGCAGGGGAGATGGACCACAGGGAAATTTCACCACTTGGAGCTCTGGGGCTTGGGGGAGCTCAAGACGTTTCCTAGGGAAGTCTAAGGATGATGAGGTGGGAAGTCTGGGAATGCTGTGGGGAGAGGGAATTGGAGTTGCAGGCTCAAGGATCTTTTAGGTACAATGGAAAGACTGTCTCAGGGAGAAGCTGGTAATGAAGGGGTGCTTGCACAATGGAAACTTAAGTGACAGGAAGCAAATTCATAGGAAACTGGTCTTCAGCCTGCTGCTCAAAAAACAAGCTATTCTTTAGAGCCACAGCAGAACTAGGAAAGGAAGACAGCATGTAGTGATCCAACAGGCACGTTTCTGAGTTTCCCTAGGACTAACCATGGGGCCAGAGGATTTCTTTCACGGCAGAGAGGAGGAGGATTTGCAGTGGATCCCTTCTCCAGAAATATTGCTAACAAGTTGATTCTCTTTTTTTTGTCTTAGTAGTATATCCTAAGAATTATACCAGCTCACATCACTTGGGAATGTATTTATGAGAGTGAAAGTGAAGTAATTTACTGTGGATTATTGTAGAGTGTGAATAGTGTTGCTTCCTACAAATTGCAGTAGCAAAACAGGCTTTCTGCTGCTTTGCAATGCTTCTTTTCCCTCCTCACTTTTCCTTTCACTTGAAAGCTAACCTCTTGCTTTAGATTACTCCTTATGACAACTGTTTGTGTTACAAAGGATTGTGACTTCCACAGGTTACAGATTAACTGTACCCAGTGAGTCAGAACAGGAAAAGCACAGTTGTAGCAGATAGGTAGATAGATCAGTAGATAGGTTTTCATAGGTTGTCACAAAGACAGTAAAACACACCAAAACTATGACTGCAATTGCAAGTATATTCAACTTTTCTACATGAGACTCCCAAATTGCGTCAATGTTTCATTTTCCATCAAATCCTTTATATGTGTTTCAGACATAAGAATAGGCATCCCCTTACAAACAGTAGTAAGTGAGCATTTCTCTTAGTAGAATGGTAGCGTTTACTCTTCTAGAGATGACTCGTGTAGATTGTACTTTTCTTTTTTTAATGGAGTTGTGTTTTTTCTTATAGATGCATATACAAAGTTTATAATTGACCTGACTTTATTCTTGCTTAGCTGTGGTGAGCCATCCCACTAAACTGTATTTTTAGACTTTCCTAAGGAAATGAAGCTTACATTAGTCATGCTGTCACAGTCAGCTGTCATAGTCCGTTCATCTGTCCATCCTTGATAACTCAGCCAATTTTAGGCAAACTTGACAGACTGGCAGAGATAAACTAACTAGTTTTCTCCCAGTCTGTGCCTGGGAGAGTCATTGCTGGTGTCCCTCACTGGAGGAGAAGCCAGAGCACCCCCAGCTCTTTGCTGAGTCCAGGCAGGGCTGAGAGGCAGGGGGGCGCCAGGCACTGTGCTTGGCTGGCCAGCCCAGCAAAGGTAGGGAGGAGGGCAGCACCAGGGGAGATGGAGTAGGCTTTGAGGGCATTTTGGAGATGGCAGTGGGGACACAGAAATATGAGAAGGACCTGGGGACATGAAAGCAGTCATACAGTCGGGAGACACTGTGAATCCTGCAGGAGAAGGGAGAGGAAGAGGAGGAATAGCTCAGCAGGAGGTATAAAGTGCAAAACAGGAACAGATTTCCATGTTCTGCTCATGGAACAACTTGTTTCCTCTTCAGGCATGGACACAGTTATGAATGTTGCAATCTCACATTAAAAATTGTTCTTAGATTATGTGCATGCCCTTTGCCGTGCCTGACTACAGATGAGTCTCTGCATAGTTTGTTCCTTTGGTCAAACCAACTGGAAAGCCTTTGGTGCACATTGCTGCTATTGCAAAATGTTAATCATTACCATGCTGTCAGCCTTAAAAAGTTTGTTCACATGAAATGTTAAGCTTAAACCAAAGAACTCCAGTTGTCTTTATTGATAAAAATTAGAAACTTTACTGTGTTTCCTTTTTTTTTTTATTATTTTCCCAAATTTGTCATGATTTATGTTTAATGGTCATTATAGGAAGCAATATTTGAAGTGTCAGATGCACTATTGGAAGGTCTGTGAAAAAAGAGGGAACTCCGGCAACTCCAAATGAAAGACAGTGCTTGAATGATAACTTTTTCCTAAATGTTTCGATACCTTTATCAGATTTCAGAAGGGTTTTTGAGAAATTCTGGATTTTTACCTGTTTGTAAGCAGTTTTTTCTCTAGATACTTAAGTTTGTGACACTTTCCTACCACTCTACATCCACATTTCTCACAGTTATCTCTGTGCTCTACTTTCTAGTTTCAACTAGGTAGGCCAGCTGCCTCACCATCTACTGCTTTTTTCCTTAGTTCTTTTGCTGTAATTCCAAGAAGTGGACTGTGTATCTTCATTAGTGAGCTGATAAAAGCCTAAGTTTTTAATCTGGAAGGTTTAGTCTCAGTGGAGGGCTTTATGTAGAGAGACTATTGAAATAAAGTTGCTTGTTTTCCATGAATTTATAAAAGTAATTTCCCTCTTTTCTTAACAGAACGACCTTTAAGTTGTGTTTGTTTATATCACTGTAATTTAATGCTCATTAGTTCTGAAACATCCTTGTCTTTTTGGTTAAAAATGATCTCTAAACTGATGAAAATTTCCAGTCTTGGCAGAGATCAGAGCCCGACCAGCTTCTGATTAGTACTTGCTTGTACACTCTTTTCCTGTGATTGTGTCCCCTAGTACAATAAGCTGCCTCCCTCGTTTTGCCTGAAAGTGCAGCCACTGGCTCTTGGCTGGAGTGATGTAGTTAGAATGACAATAGGATGTAGCAGGCTGCAGCAGGAAACAAGGCCCTGCTGGGGAAGGTCAGGAAACACTTCAGGGTCATCAGAATTTTCTGCCATCTTCTGAGACCATAAGACCACATATTAACTAATGTATTTTTAACCCTTCTGGACAGTGATCCCTGCATGGTTATGTGTGCACTGTTACTCTGTGCTGCACAGATAACTGTGAAATAAACATGAAGTTCTATGGTGAACATCAGCTTTGCTGAAGATGCCCATTGTATATGCAAGTACATATATATATCTCTAAATAAATTAAAACACAATTTTTGCCAGTGGAGTGGCTGGATTGAATAGGCTTGAATAGTTAAAAATGAAATAGTATGCATGTCCTTATTTCAGATTATTTGAAGAAACAAAGTACCTTTGTTTTCTTTCCATTAAATGTTCTATAATCAGCATGCGTGCTCTTGTGTCTCAAATAAATCTCTCACCTTCTGCCCAGGCTCTATGACTAGGGAGAAAAGTACAAATGCTCCTATTTCTGTGAAGGTTTTGCTTTCTGTCCCTTGCATGACATTTTACTTGGTTGTGCTATACTGCGTCATAATATTTTGTTTCTCAGAAATTCTATAAGTGAATTTCACAAGACAGGGCTACTTGTTCACTTTATTATTTTGTTTACATATAAACTTAAGGAGGGGTTGCTGCAAAAGTTTGAAAAGTACACCAAGTGTACCAATTGTGTTGTGCAGTTTTTCTGCTTTTAAACAGACATTAGTATGGTTTCTCTAATTAAAAAAAAAATACTGTGTTCAATGTTATTGTTTTTTCTTCTGTACATTGTATTTAACACTATAATTAAAGCCATGACAGGACACCATAATTTATAGATTATAGGGAAATACATGCAAATGGTCTTCCTCACCAGCAGGTTTCTGTTACGGTGTGTGGTGAAATGTAAGTGAAAGAGGTGCGGGTTTTGGAAGGGGGGTTGCAGTTCAAAGGAATTGCAGCTGTGCCTGCCTGGGTAATGCTAGAGCAAAGAGAGCAATACAGTCTGCAGAGAAACTTAAGCTTTTACTTCTGTGCTCGTTAATTTTTGCAGGTTTTCTTTCACTTTTTGTTTGAGCCAAATTGAAGTCATCTCCAAAATTAAAAGGCATGGTCATTTGGCTGGAATTTAAAGATAGAGAAGAGCAAGCTGAGAATCAGTTTCAGTGATTAGCTGTTCTCCCGGTGAAGAAATCACTGTGTTTAAGTGTGCTTAAACTCTGCTCCTTCCGAGAAGAGAATAGGAATCATTATAACACAAATTGCTCTTTACCTAATGGTGCATCAGCTGGATGTTAACAAGAATCTCTTAAAGGTGTTGCTCTTTCCTGACGATGTAGTATTAGAGAAGAGATCTCCATTTAGCAGTGTTGTTGAAGTGAGGGTACAGCATGTCACCACATCCAGCTTTTGCAATCTGGGGACAAGCATTCCAAGTGACCACTTTACATTTCTGTCTTTACCAGGCTTGGGAAAAACCAAGAGAAAGACGAGTGCGAGAGACGCCTCCCCCACTCCCAGCACAGACGCAGAGTATCCTTCCAACGGCAGCAGCGCCGACCGGATTTACGATCTGAACATTCCCGCCTACGTGAAATTTGCCTACGTTGCCGAGAGGGAGGATGAGCTGTCCCTCGTTAAAGGGTCCCGAGTGATTGTCATGGAGAAGTGCAGTGACGGCTGGTGGAGAGGGAGCTACAATGGACAGATCGGCTGGTTCCCTTCGAACTATGTGGTAGAAGAGGTTGAGGAAGCAACTGCAGATTCACCCAGCTTCCTCAGCCTTAGGAAAGGCGCTTCCATGAGTAACGGCCAGGGCACCAAAGTACTCCACATCGTTCAGACACTGTACCCATTCAGCTCGGTCACGGATGAAGAGCTCAATTTTGAAAAAGGGGAAACGATGGAAGTCATTGAAAAGCCAGAAAATGACCCAGAATGGTGGAAATGTAAAAATTCCAGAGGTCAAATCGGTCTTGTTCCTAAAAACTATGTAGTAATCATTAGTGATGGTCCTTCCATGAACACTTCCCATCCACCTCAGATAAGCTACACGGGCCCATCTTCTACTGGACGATTTGCTGGAAGAGAGTGGTATTACGGGAACGTTACCCGGCACCAAGCAGAATGTGCCCTGAACGAAAGGGGAGTGGAAGGAGATTTCCTTGTTAGAGACAGTGAATCTTCGGTAAGTGGTGCTCAGCCCGCAGGTTTGTAACCCCCGTGCATGGGTTAGCAGGCACGGCACTTAACAGACTCCCTGTCCTGTCACCCTTAAAGAAACGAGCAGGGCTTCAGCATTACCAACCAATATCCTCCCTCCTTGTGAGAATTGGTCTGTCAGTGAAATGCAGTGACATTTACACTGAAATTTAACAGCTGTGGTCTGTATTATCCAGGGTTTTTTTAAATTTGTGGACAATCAAGTAAAATATTTCAGGTTTCCAGTTGGCTTTTCATGTGTTTCTCATGCAATCCTCAAATTTAAAGCACTACATGATAAAATAATTCTAGGTGATTAAAAATTTGGTCATTGATTTGATCTGTTTTCAAACAGAATCTTTGCATTGGGCAGTTCTGTTCTACTTTTAATTTTAAAATTACATTGTTTCTTTATCAGGTAAAATTCCATTTAAAAGTATTTTTGATCTACTTAGATAATTTAGTTTGTAATAAGGTGAAGTTGTTATTATATCTAGTTGTTAAGGTTGTGATATACAGCAGAGAGGGTCAAGTCAGCAGCTCATATGCCTTGTAAATTGAGCCTAGATGGCATCAGAGGGATCTGAGTAATGCTGGTTATGGTTCATGTCATTCTGAAAGTTCAGATTTAAAATTCAGCTGAAAGGACTTTCATGTGTGCTGAGGCCAGAGAATTTGCAGTTAAAGCACTAAAATTTAATTATCCTTTGGCTGTGATTTTGAAAAGGTGACAGATTTTAATCTTATGTCATACATAACATTGAGAAAATTGACAAAATACAACTTTTTAACAGTCCCAGATATTTTTATCTGAAGACAGTATTGTCTGATTAAATTTCAGGCACCTCTCCTTGATGAATTTGCTCTGCAAAAACCGTGATAGCTATCGAACTACCCTTTCTTTGAAGCTCTGTGTCATTGAATTCCTATTTCTGCTTAATTATAATCTAAACAAAGGCAAATGCAAATAAACCACAAGAGAACAGGAAAAAAGTTAGAGATTAAATTAAAATAAACTAGAGGAAGACAGGAAGAAAAATAGGAATTTAGAAATCATGACTGATTTACAGAGGCTGAGAGGAATCAAGTTTGTTTAGTCAACAGAAGAAAAGACTGATGTGAGACGCACAGTCTTGTAAAATGTAGAAAGCCACTGGAGGATTATGGTAACCATTAAATTACAGTAATTCCTTTTTTTCCCAACATTTTTTTTCTATCAACATCCTGTCAGATAGAGGCATAATGGATGTGGTGGATTTTTGGCATGTCGGTCCAGCAGGTAGAAGCTCACTTTCAGATCTGGAGGCTGCATTATGATTTATCCTGAGACAGTAGCTATCAATTTCCTTTCATCTCTTGAGAAAGTGCCAGAAGGAGAGTTTGAAAATGAATACATTACTTAAAATACAAAAATGCTTGCCCATTTCTCAGGACATGATATGTCACAGTGACCACTATGCTACAGCTTGGTTTTTTAGCTCTTAAGAGTCTGCCTATATCTCTGGAGTAAACTAACGACCTTCAAAGAACACAGTAACCTTTTTATTTAATGTGACATCATAACACTGAATCCTTGCATTCAAAGCAGTTTCAAACTTTTTGCCTGAATTGTAGATGGAAATCATTGCCTTGGAGTACAAAAAGATTCATTCAGAATGTGCTCTTCAAACTATTTCTAGCATCTAACACTTAGTGGGATAACAAAAAAATTATTCAGTTCATATCACAGCAATTTTTTTGCACACCTGCAGGTAAAAAAATGGCACTGAATTGAGGAACTTAGCGTTTTTCCTTCTTTTTGTACTCTTTATCTGGTCTTGCAAACCCTGTATTTGAGCCTTTTTTTAGCTATGAGAAAACTGTAGTTATGCCCATGAATACCTCTGTGTGTTAGTACTGCATGTGGGTTTTAGTTTTTATTAGGTTTAAAGAAATTACTGCATCTCAAACTTTCATCTGCCCTAATCTTTATGTATCATTCCATCATATAGTGTGTTTATGTATGTGAATTATAAAACACTGGGGATTGCTAGTTTTTTCCCTGGAGTGCCACAAGTGATACAATAAGTGAATGGGCATAATTGCAAGCATTGAGAAAAGGATCGTAAAAAATCTATTTCAAACTTATTATGTATGGAATAAAGAAAGAGTTTAGCAGTGACTCATGAATTTCTGAGAGTTGCTATATTTCACACATGTGACTACAGAGGTTGTTCATGCTGTGGCTTAAAGTCACCAGGAGTGTCTTCACAATCTGAGCAGATGGTCTTGATTAGAGAGAACAGGCTGAGCAGAGCCAAGCTGTCAGCTCCCTGATTTGCTCATCTGACCACCAGACCAGCACTTCCCACTACGCTGTGTTGCTAACTCACCTTTAATGCTAGGAATGCAGGGGTTATTCCTTTCTAGAAAGGTCCATAGATAAAACTGTGAGTCATGCTCCTAATCCTGTGCCTGATTTTTGACCTGTTTTAGAGTTTTCTGTAGCCTTCCATCACCATAGTTACAAAAATTGGTCTGCATAAAAGTTTTCCTTATATTTCAATTTTGCTCTTGTTACTGAGCTATGAAAAGCTGTCCTTGGATAGATGAAGGTTTGTATTATTCAGTATTCACTTGATGAGACTGTCATGTTTTTGCATTTCAAGTGTTAGTAGTTGCAAGATTTAACAATATTTCTCTAGATTTAACTTGCCACATGTTTATCTCACAGCTAGACTTCTTTAGCCAAAAATATTTTCCTCAGTAACACTTAGATCCAGAGGATGCTACCATAGAGGAGAATAACCTGAGATGAACTCTGTAAGGTAGCTAGGAGGCTGATTATCTTCATTAATTACGAAATACTATTATTAGAACCATAAACTTGTTTGAACCATTTAAGCCCATAGTTTATGTAACAGGCACAGTTCCCTACTGATAATGTTTTTGCCAACTGTGTTACACCTAGGTAATGTCACCTTAGTTTTGGAGATCTAAAAGAACTGGGAACATGCCTTATTAGAAATATTGCTAGCTAGTTTTTCTTTCTGTTGCGGGCTGCTAGGTTAATGAAACCTGCAGTTTGTCTCATTTAAGTAACAAAACAATGAAAAAAAAGGCAGATTTAACCTCTGCAGTTTCTGTGGAGCCACTTTTTGGATTGCAGGCTCTTCAGCAGTCAGATTTTTGGTCTCTATGTGTAGCTCCTTACCCAAGACAAACAGGTCTTGGCTGATACTGGTGGTCTTGGTTGGGTGGGTGATTGTAATGCTTTGAAGACCTCAGATTTCACTGAGTACAGAAGCAAATTTGAATGGGAGAGGGTTGTTTTGTTCAGGTTCACACCAGGAAACAAGTGTGCTAACTAGTACTGCAGCTAACAGGAAGCAGTAGTGTGTCACCTCCAGCTTCTGAGCAGAGCCTTTGCTGCAGACACCCTTAAACTTCAAAGGGAGCTTCTGTCAGAACTTGTGGGCCCCTTGCAGTCCTCTGCAGGTGGCTGTGAAACTGGTGATCAGGCAAACACCAGTGCTTTGTAGTCCTATGAGGTCTTCTCATGAAGCAGAGAAGGTGTTATTTTTCTCAGCCTATGTTAGTGAGTGAGCTATGCAAGTTTTTGGATGATTTCAGGAGCAGTTATTCATTAGGAAGTATTGGTTACCTTCTGCTGGTAGTGTCACAGCATTCAGGTTACAGTAACCCATCCTAAACAGAGTTGCAGAGTACAGTTTTAAGATGATACTGATGATTTTAGGCCTATTAAAATGATTCTGAGGATTGTAGATGTGACTGGATTTGTCAGTTTTTGAGATCATATTTAGCTTCTCTGTTCTTTGTCTAGCAATAATGACAATAGAAGGAGGAGGCAGAGGAGGCAGAGGTTCAGAGTTTGCATGTTTTTTGAGGTGCTAATTTTGTAGCATTCAGTGTCCCATGTTTTCCTGGGGTTTTAATCCTGCAGCTGTTGGATAGAAGCAATGAAATGTGGCAACTGTTTAAAAAGTGAACATTGGTCATGTTCTGTGACATACAATGATTGGTAAGTACAGCAGACATGAGGAGAAAGTTTTTCTTTGAAAACCGGCATAAGGAAATATCCTAGTGGCTTATTTTAAATGGAAGAACAGAAATCTTATTAGAGGTGTAGTTAAAGATCAATGAAACCAATTCATTTTTGTGACCTATGTAATATTGATTTTGGAACATGAACATTACATAGGGAAGAGAATAGTATTTGCTTATATCCAAATGAAACAGAAGGGGTAGAAAAAGGAATTAATTCTCCCAGATGGCTCTTTCCAGCCTGACCGTAGATCTTTGAGCCATAACTTTGAGTTTTTTGGCTGGGTGATAGAGTAAGAGGAGAAGTGAGGGAAAATTTGGGTATGGAAATGGAACGAGTTGGGGAGCCCCAGGACAGGCTCACTGATGGGAGCTCAAAGAGCCTGGAGTAGTTTGAAGAATGAGTGTGTGAGAATATCTTTTTGAAGAAAGGACATTGGCAAACAGAATTGGAATGAAAGGGAAAATTTGAAATAGGTTACAGGATCAGTAAAAGATTTTCAGAGGGAACTGTTTTTCAGAACCTTGCCATTTATAAATGATAAAATTATAATTTCATTCTCAAATTTAGGATGTGAAGAGGAAACTCTGTTTTTCGTGTTTCACTTGTTTTTCCTTATATTGCTTTATCACTTGTTTTCGTGGTAGTTTTCAATTGGTTGTGGGTTTTTTTTTTAAAAAGCATTCAATTCCTCACCAAAGAAATAAAGAAACAACTTCCTACCATTTGTTTTCCACATGCCGTAGGCACCAGCTAGCTCATGGTCATCTCTAGGTACAAGCAGGTGTTAAAGGAATTGAAAACAATTCAAAGTACTACAGCACAAGGACTGTAGGTGCATTCAACCTAATATTTAATTTTCTGATTTAGGAATTGATTTAACTTCAAGTTAGGTTTTTCAGGTGTAGGTCTTTCCAGTTATGGTGGTGCAGAAATATTCATAGTTTCCCTGCCGCAAAGCAATGCTCTGTAACTCTGTTGCAGAATCATCAACTGTTCTATAGAGTTAAGGGATTAAAGCTTACTTCTGATCTGCTTTTATTTGGTGTATGTGAATCTGTTTTTCCTGGAAAAGTTAGTGTGTAAACATCCAAATGTAGCAATTAATTTAAGAGGGAGAAGAGAGAAAAATTGGCCAGCAGTTAGAACAAAATAGCTTTAACAGTAAATAAAATAAACAGACTTGGAGAAAATCCAAGGAGGACAGCAGGGAACCAATTCAAACTGCATCGAACCACGTACTTTGAAATGGAAGTGTTCATAGCAATAGTTTATTTAGATTTTTTGAAATAATATTTTTAATGAATTTGCATTTGTTAGGGCAAGAAGGAACCAAAATAAAAACAAAAACAAGTCAAATTCCTTTTGCTGTTCATTCTTGAGTCCTATAGAAGTTACTACTCTGAGACCAATAAAGGGTTTCAGGATTTTTGCAACAGCTGTTTGAGCTCTTCCATCTCTTTGCACCGGATGATGACTCTCAAAAGAGTTAGATCAGCCCTTCCGCTTTTTACATTTTTTAAATTAAATCAGATAATGAAAAAATAAACTTTGTAACGTAGGCTGCAGAAAATATGATAATGTCTTCTACTTAGGTATCAATCTAACTAGCAGGCTGCAGGGCTGTGGAGAATAGACAATAGTTCATGAGAAATGTTCATTCACTAAGGATATAATTAAACTGGCAGAAGGAGTATTTAATATATTGTGTGGATCAGCTCACAAAGATAGAAGCCTGGCCAGTGCCTGGGTCATAGGACAGTGGGTCAGAGGTCCAGCATCGCTCTGCATGTCATTAGCACATCCTTTATGGCCTAGAAATAATGTTTCTTAAGAGATACAAGGAGCTTTGAAAACTCATAATTTTGACTTGCTAAAAACAACTGCTTTGTCAGAAAATAGTAAAATATTTTTGAGAGCAAAGTGATTATTTCAACTTCTTTTTCAACTTTTGCCATAAAATTGTTTCCTGTTTCTAAAACAAACAAAAAACTTTAGTTCAGATTATGAACTTCCTATTTGTAAGTTCTTCTGTTTTAATTGAGGGCCTTTTGGTTACTGGTTTTTGTTTGGTATAGGCATCACCCATGGAAGCAGCAGAACTTAGTCAGCAAGATTTGATATTGTTTTTCGAATCCTAACTAATCTGTACTTGCTGCCTCAGTCCGTCCTCGGTGAGACCCTACAGACCTGCCTGTGTTCAGGGCACAGCAATCAGTACCCTGCCTATGCCCTAAACTTCTCCTTCATGAGCCTGGGGTCCCAAAGCTTCCGGAGAGCTTTGTGCAGGCCTGTGCTTTGTTACTGTTTAATGGCTGCTGCTTGGCCCTATGGAGGTTCCCCTGGAAGCAGGTCCCAGGCCCGTGTGGCTGTGGCTGCTGGAGGGATTGTCCACACTGCATTCAGGGCTTTAACCATGGAAAAGTGTTTGTACAGGCAGGTTATCTTTAACCCAGTGGGGTAGGTGCTGAAAATAGGCCACTTTTGGTGTGAGTTCAGTGCAGCCTTCTTTATGATGCTGCTGAGGCAAGGGCTTAATATCAGAGACAGCTGGCTTAAAATAGTGATTTTCGTACTTAGAGTTAGGGATGGATGACAGGGCACAAAATGTATCTTGGGTGGAGCACTGGAAATCCCAAAGATGCACTCTTATGCACATTTCTTTCCATCACGTTCTCCCACCCTTCCTATTCCCCTCTTGGCAGTCACAGAGAGTGTTCCATGTGCTTTGAGCCAGTGGCTGCTCACTGCCAGAGCAAGCCTTCCTGACGGAGCCTGCACTGACCTGGTCAAGGCCCAGTGACCCTGGTTTATAGATGGAACAAGTAATTATCCTATGGGTGTTACCTAAAATAAGTTTTAAAGAAATTATGCCTGTTGATCTGGAATGTAGTGGCTTGAAGTAGAAGAGGGTTAGGCCAAGGGTGTGGGGAGGTTGCTGCTGCCTTTAGCAGAACAAAAGGAGAAGAGCTGCTGCCCAAAGCTGAGCCTCGAGTCTGAGTTGGACCAGAGCCAGATCAGCAGGCATGGCAGGAGCTTTGTTTGCTGTGGGCAGGGCCCATGGAGTCAGAGGGAAGGCAGAGAAGGCGTTAGTGCTAAGACAGGTGAGGGGGAGATGCAAGTGATGAGATTTTTGGGATAGGCAGGACATGAGGAATGTGTGGGCAGAGACCCATTTTATTGCAGGAATAAAGACAGCATATCTGAGAAAAGGCTGTCCTCCAGCTCATTTGGGTATGTGCTGCATGTGTGTTTGACCCCTCACAAATGCAGTGTAGAGGACTCAGGGTGTGGTTTTGTGAAATCTGATGTCAGCAGTAACATGTGAGGGCTCCTGAACCCTCCAGTTGGTCCTCTACTGTGCCACAGCTGTGCTCAGGATTGTTCCAAGGCAGTGCTGTGAACCAGGTGGGTTTTGTTTAACCTGGGCAAGCACAGGTTTGCAGTGCTGGCCCAGCCAAAGCACCGGCGTAGTGGGGAGAGACCAAGGGACACAGTACGGTGGTGTCAAAAGCCTGGCACGTGCCTTCAGTGGTTTGTGCTTGAAGCCATGCCTTCAGTGGGCTGAGACACTGCAGCAGTACCTCCAGAGTAGCACCAGGCATTACTTAACTCTATTTAATGCTTGTTACAAGCTCCAGTGTGTTCTTTTTATTCATTTTACTGCTGGCTGGTGACACCTGCATCCATACACCTCTCACAGGGCAAACCCGTGCTCCCATCTGTCATATCCCCCTCCTACATGGAAGGAAGCACCCAAGATTAATTAAAGAATGGCAGAAACCACAAGGGTTCAAAAGAAGCTCGTGAAGTTTTACTAGCAAACTACAGAGTTGGCATAGAAATTCATGTTTTGCCCCTAATTTATAGTGGTAAGAGCGATAATAAAAGAAAAGAGGGAAGAAAGAGAAAGTGAAAGGGCGATCAGATGGCAGAGGAAAGGAGATCTGCAGCCCTGGATCCATGATCAGTCCAGCCAACAGGGTATCCAGGGCCTGGGCAGTGCATCACCAAGGCTTTGTGGGGCTACCTGGTTACAGGTAAGCTTTCCCCTCCCTAGGATTAGGTTTCTTCCTCTTCATATTAATGAATCAGCATGAGTACTCTTCTGGATCTTTATGGAAATGGGGGAAGCTTTGAGGGTCCTTTGGTAGTCTTGATCCCCCTCTGCTGGACTTGCCTGTTCCTTGACCCCATTCCCATGACTGCATTGTTTTGTGTTGTGTGGTCTGCTTGGACCAGAACAGGAAAATTGGCCCCAGAAGGGTGCTGCCCTGCCTGTGCACATCCCCCCCTTTGCTGCCACATCCTTCTCTAACTTGCCTGTTTGAATGGTCATTGGTATTTGAGGCATAGACAGCAGCGCATTAAATCCTTATTGCCCAGGCTCCTACCCCATCTCTGTGGCCAGCCAGCAGCAGTAGGTGGCTGGAGATAGAGTTCAGCTGGAAGCAAGGGACACTGTGTCCTTTCTACCCTCCTATGTGGCATGTGGTGAAGGAAGTGGAATGGTCTCATTCTGGCTGTTTGGATGACAGCTCTCGCCTTGTTAAAGCAACTGATTGCCAGGATGAGGAGATTTATCATTAGGAATTATGTCCTGAGTAATTTAATTAGTGCATAAATTCTGTATTTTGTGGGTAGTGGTGTGATGGTGAGATTTGTACGGTGGTTTTTTTCTATAGCTTTATCTTGTTTTACAAAGAAAATGTACTCAATGGGAGAAATTATTCCCTATACATGTGGTAATGAAGATAAAAGGTGCATGTGTTTTTGTCTTTTGCAATGCAAAGCAAGAATGGCCCTCTAGTGGTCGCGGCTTTAAAAAAAGCGAAGGGGGATTTTCTTCATCTTGCCCAAGCAATATTGCAGTAATTGTTTTCTCCTGGGCACTCTAGTGAGAAAGACATGCATGATAAAAATTCTTCCCTTCTCCTTGACATTTTTGTGCTTCTAGATTGAGTAACTAAGATAATATTTGCAGTTTAGTCATGTAATTGGCAGCTTCAAACTGTGCATCTGGGGAGCTTTCACTTAACTGACTTAACTGCTCACGTTAATAACAATGGTAATTATTTATTGAATAATAGGCTATTGGGTTTCTTAAGGAGCTAAAGCACCGAGCTGTGGCTAATGTAAATTACTGTCAACTATATGACACAGTTTGTTCCTGAAATTGCGAAATTATGCTGTCATTTTGTTCTCTTCTATGTAATTTTTTCTTTCTTTCTCAATTCTTCTCAACAGCCCAGTGACTTCTCAGTATCTCTAAAGGCATCGGGGAAGAACAAACATTTCAAGGTGCAGCTCGTGGACAATGTCTATTGTATTGGGCAGCGGCGATTTAATACTATGGATGAGTTGGTGGAACACTACAAAAAGGCTCCCATCTTCACCAGTGAACACGGGGAAAAGCTATATCTTGTGAAAGCACTTCAGTGACGTTGAAGATGGACTTGGCCACCTGGGCCTCTTATAACTTACAAGCCTTAGGTCCTAAATTCACTTTTATAGAGCAGAGCAATATCTGAAGCAGGCTTAAGGAATAGGCTCTTTCTAAAGTGTTTGCTCTGTCAGTTGCTGTTTGTCCTTTTTTTTTTGTTTGCCTCTCTTTGTGTTCCAGTTTTGTTAACCTCTGACCACCTCTCTTCAGGTTGAGAGTTTCCCTTGGGTGGCCGTGGCGAGCACTCACCTTCCCAGCAGAGTTCAAAACGCCCCTCTCCTGTGTACGTTTACATAGTTAGCTCAGATCAAGGAGGGGCGTTTTCAATTCAAACCAGTGTTAATCTGTTCAGACTGCTCATGCAGGCAGAACTCTCCCTTCAGAGACATCGGGCACACTTTGAATGCACTGAAGCTGCAGCTGCTTAAGTGAGAGAGAGTAGACATAACAGTTGTGGCTGTGAGTTCTGTAGCTCTATCGCTTACCGAGTAGGATAATACAAAACCTCCTAGTTCCTAGAAGCACTCTTTACACTGTACTCTGCTGTTACATTGCCTCTCTGACTCTTCGTAAAGAGTACACTAATTAAAAGCATTTTGTAATAGTACTTCTTAAACTACTATGGTAAGATTGTAGTAAAAGAAAACTAGTGTATTTTGGTCTGTAATTGCAACAAAGAGAAATTTTATTTGAAAGTTGATTACTAGAGAAAGAATAATTGAATTGTAAAGGCTGAATGTTTCGGTAATCTACAACCAAATGTGCCATCCACATAATGCTTTTTCCTCTTGCCCTTCTGCTTGTTTGAATTAAACGATTATGTATTTAATTCTCAAAGTAATATGTATCTGTAGCTGATTGTTGACACTAATACAGAAGATTAATAAAAACTGATCTTGGGACAGGGTGGGGCAGGCTACCAACACTATATATATATTTGCTTTACAGAAAGAAATCTTCGGGTTTTACAGAGGATGGTATGGTTGGTAGGAAGAGACACACAGAATGTTTATGAAGAAAATGCATTTTTCTCTTTTCTTTACATTTAAACTCCTTTATGGTTTAAATATACAGTCTTTAGATGGCACATTCCTGAGATTGAAGAACGGATCATGAGATCTCAAAATCTTGCATACTCAGTTTTTTGGATATTGTAATAAAAAAGGTATTACGTCATGATGGAGTACTGGATTTATCCTTGGGTGGTAGTCCTGGTGTTATTTTAGCAACGTGAAATAGAGTAAATAATCAATTTTTTGTCTTGGAATTTGTGTGGCCTAAAAATCATCTGCGACTGCAGAGGACATTTTTGATATGAGGCAGTGTCTAATGAGCTCTGTGTTTCTTGTTTCTGTGGTAATTAAGTCCATTCATAGCTTTAATGAAATCTGCAAGATGGACCTATTTCCTGGTACCTCTTTGCTATTAAAACACATTTCTTACCTATGCTGTGTTTCAGCCAGTAGAAGTGCAACTACCTCTGTGTATAACTAGAGCAGGTTAAGCAGATACCAGCACTGTCTGACTTGCTTTGGGGTAAATCATGCCACTGCCAAGAGACTGCCCTGGCACCTTTGCCAATGAACTGCAGTCTTCCTCAAATCCAAGAGGCAAGTACAATTTCTGAAGTTCTATGCACATACTATTTTTCCACCACTCTTGAAATCTTATTTCTGTGGGATTTTCTGAATTGACAGCTTGTACTGAAACTAAAAAATGTATTTTTCTGTATGTGCATTAACTAATCACTGGGCAGTGACACTTGTGCTTGGTAAAGCCCAAGGAAAGAAAGCAGTGATACAGAGCAATCCAAAATGATCATGCATTATCCTGAAGAGCACCTACCCCATGACTGTCTTCTAAGAAGATAGAAGTTTTCCTTAGGAAGTTGGTGAGGATTACCAGTTGTTTACACCTTACCTACAGAAAGACTCCACAGTGGGCTTCTTAAACTTCATGAGTGAATTCTGCAGAGAATGTAGGGATTTGCCTTCTAATACCTAGTTTTTTCTTTAGGTGAATTGAAGCATGTACCGGGTATGGCAATAATATTAAAAAAGTCAGCTATATGTTGTATGAGCATTTTCAGGTTTGAGTGAATTGCTTTTCAGTCTTCTTGTCTCTTGGTAGTATTTGCAGAAATTATATATGGGAATGGTTTACCTTTTCAGTAAACAGATTAATTACTGTTTCATGCCCCATGTTCGTTTTTTGGTGAAATATTCCCTATGTTTCCTGTTTCAGGAGCCTTCATATGCCTCTTGGAATCTTTTTTACACTTTTTTTCTAGAGTCCATTTTTACAAGCTCTCTTAGTTCCTAACTCCATTCTAGTCTTAGTAGCTTGAACTAAATCAAATAGACATCTGAATGAGGGTTTTACTATATGCTTTATATTTTAATGAATTTATCAAATTTTCTTTGCTTGTTTCTGTTACCTCCTCCTCTGTAAACAAATTCTGTGTCTTGAGGTGTAAATTGTAAAGTACTTTGTTTTGGAAGCAGTTAGTAAGTTTATGACTTGTAAATTACTAGCTCAAGTAATTTCCTTTCTTTTTTTTTCAAGTAAGTCTCACCTTGGTTTTTCCCATGCTGTTTTTTGTCAGCATGCTTTCCATTCAACAGGCTCATTAATAGCTCTTCAGTTGTTCCCATCATTGTTGAGGTATATTCATACAAATTTTGCCACCTTTTCCTGCCCTTTTGATCTCACTTGGCTTAAGCATTAATAATCTTCAGTACTATATGCTTCATAAAGGGGCAATAGATGTGGATTTTATTATTATTTCCCTATTTTATACTCACCTTTCAATTACTTGACAAAATCTCACCTTTATTTTTTGACTACTTAGAGCCTCTTTGTCAAAGCTTGTGGTGGGGGTGGCATTTTTTTTTAAATATGAGCAGAGTCATGGTGACCTGAATTTCTTTGCTTACAATATTCATTAAAGGCTCAAATAATTTCTGATGGAGTAGAAGTTTTGATTTTTCTTTATGGTGTTTAGTCTGGCTTTTGCCATCCTACCTGATTCATACAGGTGCTTAAGTTGTACTTCTAAGTACTTCTCATTCCTGTACAGCTGTTAATGTGTTCTTTCCTTGCTGGTGTCTTTGGAGGAATGTGAATGACTTGTGAATCCATAACAGTTTCCACACAGTGGCAGAAACTTGAGGTCCATGTTTATACTTTTAGCTCTGGGAGCTTCATGACAAACTCCCACTTGATGTTATCTTGACTGTTTGTGGTATCACATATTAGGTGGGGACAAATTAGTAAAGGATTAATATACAAGTGCACTGAGAACATGCCAGGTAAACTCACATGGACCTACAGTGTTGCAAAAGCAAAGGATTTGCTTACTCTTTTTTGAGAAGAGGCAATGAAGACATGCAGTTGGGTGTTTAACATCTTTGACTGCGTGAACAAACTGATGTCCCACCCTTGAATGGTTCTGCTTAGTGTTCTCCATGCAGATCTTCATGTCTCATGAATGTATATTAAATCCTTAAAGTTTACAGCTGTTCCTCCAAACCTTTATTACAGCTTTTCTGTACTGTAAAGTTTGGTGTCTAGTTTAATGGTTTCACTATGAGGAAATAGAGATCTTCCACTCTTAGAACAATAGCTTCTGTTATAGCACAAAGTTGAAGTACTTTCAAAACGCCACCATACAATTTCACCTATAAAAACGAGTCAGATTTTTGCCTAAATTATAAATAAAAAACTAGAAAATGGATTACAGGTCCGTTGAACTAGGTTGACAATTTACTTGGCAAAAGCTACTAAATAACTGTAAGGACTTTAATTTCTTCTTGATCTTAAGGTAGTTTAATTCAGTGCTTCAGAGGTAAATGAAACTTGGGCAATTGCTGCAATCTGAATCTGACAGGTTCTTTTTTCTTACTCCAGTGGGATGGGATGACTCATTTTTAAATGGAAACTTGTTAACATATAATAAACTGTGGAAATTGTATTGCTGAAGTAACACTGATCTCTTAAAATGCTCTAGGAACTATGAACTTTCCTATTAATTTCTTTTCAGTACATTCAAAATTCAGTGCCTTTTTTGTGAAGTGGAAAAGTGGAAGCCAGCAAGAGTACAGCATGCACAGTCCTGAAGGGCATTACCTGTACCACGTGAATGAAAGTATGCAAGTAAATGCTACCATTCATTCATTATTTTGATTAACAAGTAAATCAGTTGTGCAATACTCTTCTAGAAAGTATACTGCAATTGCAACCCAAGTGTGCACCAGCTTTAGTATGTGATAACAAGGCCTAATGTACGTTCCTGTGCCGTTGTCTTGCAAAAGCAATAGCTTGCTGTCTTTTTCTCTTTTTTAGATAGGCGTTCATGTTGTTGGATATAGTTATAATTTGTTGGAGAAATCAATACATAATGTTTTTTGACCTAAATTGACTTAATGTGAAAAATAATTTATATATGGTGTACTTAAAACTGTAGTATTTTCTGGTCTTTTGTGTGCTGCTGGAACCCTATGCTCTTTCTGTATTTTAAAATGTAATTTTTTTTCTTGCATATTCTTAGTGTGTCTTTTCTTGTTAGAAAATAGGATGTTTCCCCTGTTGTTACTTGAACTATCCACCCAGGCTGATACAGAAGCTGACTAATAGAAGTGGCATGTAGCCATTGACACATTAGACAAGTTTTTCCTTGCATTTTCTTTCCCATGTGGTAATATTAAATGGTTGAAGAGTGGGAGGTTAAACAAAAAGAAAGAAGAAAGAAGACTCTAACTTGACAGATTATCTTCAGCAGTGGGAGTCCACAGTTTTGAGGAAAAAGGAATAGGTAAGAAATGTTCTTTTCTATTTTCTTAAATGGATTTTCTTTGAAATTTAGCCTGACATCATATGGCATGAGTGCATGAAGTAATACAAAGATTAACAAATTAATGCTGATTTAGTCAATTTTATTGAAGGAATGGATGGATAAAGCTGTTGATCTCAATGTCTTACTATAGAAAATAGTCATCTTCAGAAGGGGAGAGCTGGGATTTTGGGAACTGCTTTGTTGGTGCTGGGGCTTTTTGTTTTGATTTTTGAGGGAAGACTTCAAAAGAGGTGCCTTGCTCCAGTTTTCAAGCCAGATTTTGCTTCTAAGCTTCTTCCCAAAAAACATCTCTTGAGTGTGGGCCAGGCCACAGGGAATCTGTTAAGTGGAATTATTCTCCCACCTGTAATTGAAACTGGTGGTGAATAATGGGCTACTTTTTTCTTTTTTAATTTTGATCTCCATTAGATTGGATACATACATCTATATGGTAATTAATTAGTGGGTTCTGTGGGTTACTGCCTTAGTTTTTCACCTGGGTTCAACTCTCTCAAGTTGAAATAATCTTGATGAGGTGTTTTTTTTTTAATTCCTTTTTATGTCACAGAACCAGTAGTGCATTCAGTGCAATTATAATTGGTAATGCAGAGAAGCCCTTCAGTTGTGGGCAGCTGGTATGTTTGGAATACTAAGTCCAGAGATGATGGTGATGATAATACAGCCATAAAGAACTGCAGGTAAGGGCACCAGCAGACAGTTAGAGAGAACAGGCTCTGGTGTCATTAACCAAGTGTCTTGATGGTTTTCTTTGTAGAGTTAGGATGTTTATTTTCATTTATATACATAGCTAATTTGTAGAAGTGAAACTTAACCCTTTTTAGGTGTACAGTGTGTTTATACTTAAGTAAATTCACAGGAATTACTGCAGGATAGAATGTGCATGTTGAGGCCCCAGGAAAATTAGGTGTTCTGGTGTTTATGACAGCTTTCCTAATGAAAATCCTTGCAGATTTCTGTCCCTGTGAAAAGTGGGATGTTCCTTGGCTTTGCACTGGCATTGACCTGTCTTTGTGCTGCCACAACCTGTCTCCACCAAAGACAGGGCAGCTGTGATTATGTTAGAAGAGATTTCCATAGTGTCAGGGCTCTTGTGTAACTAGGTTGGGCTAAGCACAGAGTGCAGTGTGAAGAGAAGAACAAGGTGTTGAAGAACCCACCAGGAATGGGTGGATGACACAGAGAACTCATTAGACCTAGTTATGTTTGTCCTTTGCCCTTACTAATTTAGCAGTGAATGCTGACATTATCAGTGTTGGATGTTGTGTGTTAATATGTCTCAGAGTTTTTCTTGTGCTAACAGAGATCAGATGTGCCACTTCTCTGGCTTGTCTCTGTGTAATCATTCTGCTATGAAGTTCAGAAAAGTTCAAGAGAAATAGGTCTTCATTTTAGCTGGCATTTCTGGTGCAGTATGTAACTATACCTATATTGTCAGCCTTCTGATGCTCTTTAATATTACTATTTCTGCGAAAACTAGAAGGCTGAGCATTCTCAACTCAGTCCTTTGCCATGTGATGAGCATTAGATTAGCAGTCATGGGCCCCTCCATGGCAACATCCCATATTGTTTAACAGTGGTCTTGGAGACTTGTCTCCTTAAATTAGCATCAGATTTGTCTTTTTTTTTTTTCTCTCTCCAATACTTTTCCTTAGAAATACATGTGCATCTGTCTTTACAGTCTTTTTAGTTCCTGGAAAGTCTTCTGGTCCTTGGCTGCCGTTCTGGAACTTTGTGGATCATTTGGAACAATGGCCTTTCCATCCAGTATTGGCTTCTTGGGAAATAATACTCTTCATGATGAATTGTATTATCCTGTGTTGGGGAAATAAGAGCCAAAGGTGCTTTCGTCCTTCATGATAGTTCTGGGAAGCGCTTTGTCCTAATAGAACAAAGAAAAAGAGGGAACAGGTTACCCTTCCGGTTTAAATCAAATGCTCTGTAGTAAAAGCTTGCAAATCATTCTAAAACTGTAAAAATGGAGGAGCTCATTATATAATGCAATGTCAGGAACTATGTGGTTACTTATGGAAGGAGGAGATTGCTTTCTTCAGCAGTAGCAGGATGTTAATTCTGCAATAGTCTTAGAATTTCTGAAAAACAAGCCCAACCTCCTTCAGGAATATATCTGAAATCTAGCTGTGTGTAGTACAGATCTGAGTCTTTGAGGGTAGGGCACCACACAGTCACCTCGCTTGAATTTTTATTATTTTACTGTTAACTGCAATGATTTTTCTTTTATGATGACTCAGATGTATAATTTGTCTTGTATTTTTCCTAGTGCAGTTGCATGTGGTCCAGCATAATTTTCATTGAAGCTGGTTGAGCTTCCAGGAATCCTGCTTGTTCTGTGTTTTATTCATCTGCCTTGTCTTCCTGCCTCATTTGTGCTTGGTCTCCTATTCTGCTTTTTTGCTTTTCTCACCTGTTTTCTCTTGTGCCCTAGAGCTGCTTCAGTTTTTCATCTCCTTCTTGTGTTCAAGTATTTCTACTCTCCTTTCATTTACAAGCTTTAATATTCAGAGCCTGCCTAATGAAGAGGAATGATTGCTTTGCTCCAAACTTCTCCCTTACACCCTCAGATTGCAGAGGAGCAGGCCCACTTCTGTGTATGGAGCTGTATTTGTGCTGTGGGAACATCCGGGAACAGATAATCAAGCAAATAACTATATGGCCTGAGCAAACCTGTTCTTGCTCACAGAGGTGGTTATTGGATGGTGCAATGCCCACTTGAATCAGCAGCTTGACTTTGGAGCTTCAGTGCATGTGTTCTCACTGTGGAAGGTGCTCAGACAGGCTAAACATCTGCAATTCTGAAATGGGGAGTGGGAAAATACACGGTCAGTATTCCAGCATATTTACCACAAATGCTACACAGCATGCTCATCAAAACAGGGGCAGTGAAATTCTTATGTTGGTATTTGGGAGTGTTGGCCCATCCCTTCTTTCTTCCTTACTGAAGTTTCTTCTTGACCTACTGGCTGGTATTTTCCAGCACTGAACAGAGAGAATAGCAAGGATTTCTCCAAGAGAGTTGCTATTCAACAGTAGCAGCTTTTGAGATGTGATTTGCTTGAATGCATCAATCCATATTTAGGCTGATATAGTGGAGTTTTTACACTGGCATGTAACTATAATACTATGTTATAGCTGTAAATGCCAGTTTGTGCTGTTTATTTGGACTGTTACAATTATGGTGTGTGGTATAAAATCTTCATTCAAAACCTGTTATCATAAACAAAGCCCTTTAATTGAAAATGAAAAATAGCCTCCAGCCGACGTACAAAAGGAAGGAACAGCTCAAACTGAAAAGAGGAGCCAAAGTAATTGTTATGCACTGTACAGTGATGATGGAGAGCAGACAAAGAGCATACACCAAGGAGCCATGGAAATGAAGCAGCATGAAAGGACTGGTGACAGCACCATTGGGAGTGTGCTCACCCACACAAATGGAGTGATGTATGTGTTTGCACCAGTGAGTTGGAATGGAGTTCAAAATGATTGCACAAGGCATTTGCTAAGGGACTGGGCTCAGCAGGCCCAGGCCAGAGAAACTTCAGTTTCACTCTAAAGAAGTTTGTGCTTTTTCTCTCAAGACACAGAGGCGGGATATAAATAGCAGTGGGCTTGAATAAGCAGTCGGCCTCTGCAGCAGGAAATGAAGACAGATATCTAAGAAATCCCCTTTGTCCCAGATAGATGTGTGTGTGTGCATGTTTACTTTCCCTCCATTTAAAAGACTGCTTCAGATTTTATTTGTTTGAGAACTGACTCAGTTCTGCATTCAAAATCAGTGCAAGCCTTTCCATATCAGACTAGTCACCAGAGAAAGGTTTGATTACCGTTGAGCATGAGTGTAATCCACATAGTCCTAGACTCTACATCCCTGGTGGAAGAGCAGTATGAAGCTATCTGTCAATACTAAGTCATTTGACAAAAGCATGGATATGAGTTGGATTGGGTGCTGCTGAAGCATAAAACTTGTTGAGGAGAGGTAAAATATGGTGTGTGTCAATTCTGTATCATCTCTTTTTCAGTGAAGAGGGCTTAATGTCTGTGCTGGCCCTCCTATTTGTGCAGTTATAACAGCAAACGTACCAGTACACATACATGAGGGGGATGCAAGGCCTTAAAAACACTGACTGTGATTCTTATTTTTAAAGTGAGAGCATGTGAATCTGAGCTAAAATACACCTTTCTTGTTAGTGATACTGGCTGACCTGTACTTGCTGGTTCCTCATCAATCCTTGTGAGGCCTTGTACGTTTGAATGGGACCCATCTCTTCCCGGTCAGGATGGGAGCAAGTGAGTTATGAACTCTTAGCAGGGTGCTCTCAACTAATCCTCCCCTGGGCTTTCAGCTGCTGTGCTTCCCAGTCATGAAAGCTGTCTTTTACTGGCCTGAAAAAGAAAGCAGAGAGATTTTTCCAGAAGGTTTTATCTCTGTCAGCAGGCATTAGGAAGAACAGTCTTGAAATTAAGTCACGGTAAATTGTGATCTAGAGAGCTATAGATTTTTTATGCTCATCTAAGATGATAGACAGGTACTGAAAAAAAGAGGAAAAAATAATGAAGATATTATTTTTCTCTGAATGTCATTCACCTTTCCTGTAATCCTTATCCTTTCCAGCTGATAGAGAGGTTTGACAGTACTTCCCTTCCCTCCCTCTGAATTTCATCCCCCAAAA